CTCTCCATGTAGCATCAGTTATGCTAATGCTAGCTGTTGCAGTCTCTCGTCCTGGCCACACCTCCCGCTCTCTAGCCCACACCCCCTCCCCTACCCTTTTTGATGCATTTTTTAAATTTCGCCTTGGGGCGGAGTTATCTTTTCACAGGGGTGGGGGGGTAAGTTACTCTTCAAATAACACGTGCTGCTGCTGCTGCTGGCCTAACATTGCGTGAATGCATGCCGATAAGCAGGTGAGTCACACATGAACCCTTCTGTCAATCTTCACTTTGCGTCTGGCTTTGTAGGCAGCGACTCACTCTTCATCTATCTCTCTGCCACGCAGCGTCTGTAATCCTCTGGCACTGCACCCACGCATCGGGATAAAAAAAATACGGTCCACAGTGGTTATTTAGATAAGTGCTAATTTCCTCAAAGTGCACATCTCTTTCTTTTCCTCCTCAAATGCGTCTTTATTTACTTTTTTTTTTACAGATCTGCCTCCTTTTGCACAGAGATTTACTTAAAGCAGAGCTTTTTTTTCCAATGAAGAATAACAATATGTGAATATGTTTATTCTATAAGGTTTTTTTCAGCATTTCTTATATTTAAGCTTTGGATTAATATTCTATAACACATGGTTTCCTGTTTTCTTGTTGATGCTTGTTACCATGAGATCATCTCTTTCTTCCTCCCTTCAGGGCCAGTTGTGAGTAATTAATTAACCCATATCACAGCCTAGTTAACTGCATGGCATTCACAAGTTGAGTCTGGGGATCCCGCTTCAGTAAGTGAACTGGAAGAATCATCTTTCAAGGAAAGATTCACCCTTGTTTTTTTGCTTTTCTATCTTGTCACCCCATTCATATCTCTTCCCAGCACGCTGCCTATACCGGTGGAATCTCCCCAGGCCCAAGGCATAAACAGGCCACACTTGCTGGCAAATGAAGACAAAAACCATTCCTCACTGACCAAGAGAAACAGGAAACCTCACAGCACCTGCCTGAGGAAGTGAAATGAAAGCTGCCTTTAAARCGAGCCAAGAACTCCGCTGCTGCCTCACATTTTGCACCTGCGAGTGCTTGGCAGAGAGAAGCCTCCTGGTTGTTGGGTGAAGGAAAGCACTCAATGCAATACTGTGAAAGGAGCCAGTCACAGAAAAAAAATAAGTCGTCTAACTCTTGTTTAACAATTACAAACCCCTAAAATACTTGGAATACACAAAGATAGAGCTGGGGTTCAGTGCTGGTGATTTAAACTGAAGTTTAGGGGAGATGAAGCACGTGAAGGTCTCCTGCCATTTTTTTATGACTAACATAGGCTACTTTGTGGCTTAATTCAAGTCTTTAAGAAATGTTCTCAGAAGAAACACACAGAGAGCTGAGGATGCAGTGTGTAAGCAGGGAGGGTAGCAAAAAAAAAAAAAAAACAACAAGAGTCCAACAGGAACAAGTCTATGCAAGCTTTTACTTTCTTTCTTACCATGTTTTTCATACAAAGAAGTTCCAAAGTTCAGACCCTCAAAAGAAGATGATGATGTTTTTAATATATTTACTTTGGATTATTTGAATTCTTTGGCAATTCAGTGGCCAAGCACAGCTATCACTGAGGATAATTTTATCTACTCATAAATTTTGCATTTGTCAGAAGAAAAATTAAAAGTTAGCACCAGATACCATATTTTTTTAAAAAAAAATTTGATCTTGTGAGAATTCACCTGCAAGGTAACAAAATGTTTAGTACGGCAAAAGTCAGATGAGTGGAAGAAAACCTTCATGACACTGAACACGTTCATTTTTTTGTGGTCATTATTCTTGGAACATGTTACGAGACATGGACAGGTACCAGTCAGGGTTATGAATGGAAGTCAGTGTCCTGTCTGTCTGGTAGTAACATATCTCATGAACCACTGGACAGATTTTGAAGAAATGGTCAGAAAATACTCATTGGGTATACTGTACCTCTGATTGACTTTTAGGGCCAAACCAGCATAAGATGGCCATCACACACAACTCACATATTAAAACACAAAAATTTAAATTAAACATTTAAATTAATTCAGTGAACATCAGAGGACGRTGTTAGCTTTCTGCTCTCTACTGACTAGAAGACTCATTCTTCTTCGATGGAAGGATCCACATCTTCCAGTATGTGGTCATTGAAGAGAAGTTATGTCTTACATTCATTTAGAGAAGATTAGATATACTGTTAGGGGATCTGTAAACAATTTTTTTGACATTTGGCAGCCATTTATGTAGAAAAAATTTCGGCAGATCACTTTGTGTAAAGG